CTGTTAGAGGAGACTATAGACACTGAAACAGTACACCATAGTATAGCCATTTTTATGTCCTTATGTATGTGTCTATACGGCAAATAAAATAATTCCCTCGGAAAGTAAGAAGTAAATTAGTTTTGCTTCCTCACAGTTCCAAAATAATCAGAGATATTTTATTTCAGCCAGAATCTGCATTTTAAATGCTTTAAAAGAAAGTTTTACTTTGATAACTTGCTATATATTTTATGAAATACATTTTAAAATGTGCATCTCCACTTAGAGAAGTCGGAGCATTTTACTCCTGCAATTTGCTATTCCCTCTCCAGTTAAAACAAAAAACAAAAAAACCCACACATTTCAGATGAAAATATATGTCCAAAAATTGGATCAAACCTAGCAATGACTTGTGACTAAGCTTGGTCTAATAACTGTGCTTTTTAATCTTAAGGGTATTAAGAAGATTCAGAAGTACAGATTCTAGTAGGAACTAAATTCTGTATGCAATTTAGGACACATTGCAGAAAACAGCATATGGAAGGTTGATACCTTTATATTTTTCATTACAGCATACTGCAGTTTAAGAAGTTTAACAAAATTTGTCTACTACTTGCATTTTTTACCAGTTTTTTAAAATTTTACAGTACACTTTTCAGCAAAGATTTCAAACCTCTCACTTAATGTACTATCAAGTGATCAATATATACCTGAGATGCTCTAGAAATCTAAATTCCAGAACAATGGCTAATAACGATATATATGGTTCATCTACTGACATAATCATGTTTCCATTGGGGCCTGCCAATACAACTTTTATAGGTACAAAACTTAGCGCAATTACGCAGGATTTGATTTTGAAGAAGTTTACACTTTACCAATGAAACTTCATGTATTCCAGAAACCATTTTTAGCCTTTTCCAGGCTACACCCATATGATTTGTACAGAGAGCAGTATTCCATTACAGATGCCAAGTTACCTACAGTCTAAAAAAATTTGTAACTAAAGTAGTGCAGCAATTAAAATCAGCAGGATTTCTGGCTCAGTGCCATAATAATGTAGTTCTGTTTGGAAGGCATTTAGCCAAATAGTGTTGCAGCCGCAGAGTGCAGATAAAGTTAATACAAAACTGAATTTCTTCACCTGTATTTCTAGATAAGTTGCTAGTTTTCTGCAAACAAGACCTAAAGAACAGAAAGTTGCAAAAGCATGTTTTCTTGACGGCAATTGACCTGCCACATGCAGATTAGAACAGCCTACTTTTCTGTTACGACAATCTATGCAAGTTCTTAAGAGCATTAGCATTACCTGCAGGAAACACTTTCTTTAATGTTCTTGACATCTGCTGGGCTGATTCCTTCAATAACAGGTGAGTCCAGATTTGCAGATCCATTGCTGATATGATCACTGCTTTCATACCCAGATTCTGTCCTCTGCATTTGCCAGTTATCACCGTGGATTTTTCTCTCTGTAAATCCTTTGCTTTTTTCAGCATTCCCTTTTCCCTCTGAATCCAAAGAGCTTCGACTTCCTGTATCCTGTTTTGTTTCATCTTCATATATAGTCATTAAACCTTTCTGGATCTGGTTCTCCTTGGGCCAATGGTTAAAGCTCCGCTCTTTTTCATGCTTAGATTTACTGTTTAGATTTGCTTTATGTTTTGGGCTATGCTGCTTCTTCTCAGTCTCACTGAAAATGCTGTCTACGTTTAGTGTCTCTCGCATGGGTTTCCAACCTTTACTTCTGCTTCTGCTGCTGATACTTCCTTTGTCCCTAGAGTCTTGGCTGCTGTCTGTATCGTAGCCAGTGACACCATCAGTCCGGGTCCTGATCATCACCTTCTCCCCAGCAGGAAAAGGTTCTGTTTTATTTGATCCTGGCACCTGTACAGAAAGCTTGGCTTGGTGAGGTGCACTGTCATGCTTATAAGGTCCTCTTCCCTGGCTGTTGTATATGCGCTGATCAGCATATTGTCTAAGTCCACTTCCAGCTGGAGGAGACCCTGACTTAAAATTGGAACGATCTTCCCCAATCAAATCTTGTGGGGGGGAGGGGGGGGAAAAAAAAGATTCCATTAAAATTTTTTCTAATGTTTAACTTTGATACAGTTATACTACATATTTTTCTTAGGCTATCTCAAACTCAACAAAATCAGTATGTATCTCAGAATCTTTGAGTGATAGGAAACTTTAACGTTATGACCTTTTCTCTTAAAGGGAGAAGTACTGATGCTAAAAATCTATTCAACCCATTGATTTTCCGTTTGTATTTTTAAAACGTACCTCTTTGTCTCCCAGATTCTTTTCTCAGTCCCCTGTCTGCATCTTTTCGTAAAGATGAAAAGTTTTTCATATCAGCAGCTTTCTGAGCACACTCTCTGGATATGTCCTTCAGCCTATCCTTTTGATCACTGTAACCTAACTTAGCTGCAAAAAATATTTCATTTGTCAAAATTCATTAATAAAAAGTCATAAATAAAATACAACTATATTTATGTACCATAACATTTAGATTTTAATACCAATACTTCTTACACAGACAATAAAATTATATGCCACAGATCCCTAAGCCAAGGTAAGGTGTATAGTATAGATATAAGTGTATAGACATCTGCAAGCAGTCCATTAAACATAGCTATTAAAAGCAACCAAAGCAGCATTAAGTCAAGCCTGCCTCACAAACGCACATCTTCCAAATTCATCTTAGTTTTTAAGCTTGAATGCTCAACCCATTGTCAAAGCACCTACTATTTACATCAAGTTTCGGAAATCATACTGAAAAATGTGAATCCAAGTTTAATCTTGTCTTGTTAAAACATGAAGTTATGTTTTTAAGAAAGTAGTGAAGGGAACACGAAGTTATATTTTTAAGAAAGCAGTGAAGAGATCTGTAGTTTTTAAAGAGTGATCCCATTACTCAGTACCATTTCTGGGTCATCACCTCATTAAAAAAAGTTATCAAGCAGAGCATTCTCAGCATGGAAAAGTCTAGGAATTCAACACTAAAAGACAGAGGAGAAATATATCTCTCAAGAGGAACCATCATCTCTCCTCCTGACCAGTATGAGGAGTCTGGAGCAGAGACACAGACAAGTAACATAGAAGTCACTCCTCATAGGACTTTTTATACCTTGCTTTCTTGGAAATTTAATTTACAGATAAAATGGATTTTTAAATAGGTTTAAAATAACTTCTTTACTATTCTTTCAAAAAATAAGATAAAAGTCAGACAAGACTAAAAATAATGGTCCCTATCACGATACTGGTGGGAAACAGTGTTCCTCAAATAGCTAACGATCCACAGAGTCACATCACATGGGCCACAGGACCAAATCAACTTTTTAACATGCATTTTAACTGACAATATAATTAGAAGGCATGGTGATGTTTAAGAAATGGACTAAAGTCTTGAGAACCACTTTAGCACAGGAATAATAAAGGGCAGTTAAAAAAAAAAATCTATATAGATGTACACCACAAAGGTTAATACTCCATGACAGACATTATTTAACCATTAGCTGCTATTCACAGATGCATTAAACACAGTGATAGAATTATTCCTTTAGAAATAATTCTAGTCTGGAAGTTAGCACATGTCTGAAAAGCTGTTGACTGAAATTACTTCATAAGCCATGTATTTGGAGGAAAAAAAATAAATAAAAAGTACATACCTGGACCTCTACCACCACTAGCTTGAATATGGCTTCTACTGAATGCTGTATTATCTGGCTGAAGTTTTTTATTACTCTTTTGATTAGCAGGGTCTCCAATTCCATTCTCTTTTGTGTGGTCTAGTTTAAGAACAGAATGCTTTTCAAATCCTGTCAAAGGAATATCTATCTTCAGAAGTGAAAGGCTTCCTAATTTAAGGTTCCCAGTATCGAAGTTCAAAAATAAAGGACTGACATATTTATAACGCTATATCGCAACGGGATAATTTTAATTCTTTCTTCCCTGAAGCAATCTACATTCAATTGCAGCTCATTATGTGAAGATGAATATGTCAAATCCAATTTATTTTATTTATTTGTATGTAAATGTTAAGAGAGAGCAGTAGAAACTATAGAAACAAAAGAACTTAAGTTCTGACATGCTGAGGCCTCTAGTATAAGGATCTGTGAGAAAAGAAGTTTCCTGCAGCTTCTTCTGATTTTTCCTCAAGTTCTGAATTGGCATTTAGTGTCTGTATGTGTATACAGATATATACACATACTCACATGCCAATACGTTTATATATAAAATATGGATATAATACGAATATATTCTTATTTGTAGTATTGTTTTACCTAAAACACCTGTTTTATAGTATTTTAGAGGTATTTTAAATACACAAATACAGACATAAGAACACCTGCATATACAAATATACTAAGATTTTCTTCTGAAATAACTATTTTACATGTAACTTTTAACTACGGCCAAACAATCTACAACAGAAGATAACTTCCCCATTACCTGTGTATCTCAATTTGTATTCCCCTATCAGATGCAAAACAGACAATTCTACTATTAAATATACACACTAATCTTTTGAGACTTATTAGACAATTATTGATAAAGACACTTAAGAAGTAGGCAGCTAATGTGCTACTCCTCCTTTATAATTAAAATTTTTTAAATATAATTGAGATTATATTATTAACATTTAAAAAAAGAAAAAATGTCATTACCCAAGTCTTCCCCATTTCCTCCTGCTGCTTTGTATTGAGACCAGTGAATAATCTGCTTTGGAGCATCTTCTGCAGATACAGCCGTGCCATCTGGGTTAGCATAAAATAGCAACAAAGGCTGAAAGTGACATCGAATACACTTGGAGACCACATCTTTCCATTTTGTTCCAATCTAAGAAAAAAAGACATTCTATTTGCATCAACATCATTGAACCTAATTAAGGAAAAAATAATGTAATAAGCTACAGGTACTGAATGACTAACTCCAAAAACTGCATTAAAATTTAAAACGTTAGCACATGAGTTTATGTAACTTGTGGCAAGACACCAGCATCAGCATTTACACAGGTTAGCAGAACACCAACGCTACGAATACAGCTATCAATAATCATTCTTTTTTCTTCTTTTTCCTAAAAAGGAATACAAATTAAAAAGTCAATAAGAACTATACTAACATTTGAAAGCGTGCAGCATTTGGAAAACAGAATCGTAAAGTGGTGCAGTTGATTCTAAATCTGATTTGTAAAAACTGAGAAATGAAAATAAAGACTTATGAAAATAAAGACATTTATCTGAATCATTTCAAGTCTGCTGTCAAAAGAATGCATTCTAGAAAAGTAAAGATCTGGTAGCAGTAGAAAAAAAATTTACCTCTTTGACATTAGCATCATCAAACAGCACCCACTTGCAACTTTTAGTGTGAAAGGCAAAGGCACAGTAATGTCGGCTTGTGTAGCAAATCATTCCCACAAGAAAAAGTTCACTATTTTTGGCGTTTTCGTCCGTAACCCTATAGAACAGCTGCAAAAATGATTTCATAATTTTAAATACGTGTAAAACACTTAGCATTAACATCTAGAACAACTACTGGAATTTCACCAAGGCAATCGGTATTAAATATCCTCTTGCAGTATATAATTTTTCATGAATTTAAATAATGATTTTTGCACTTATTGGGTCTGTTACAACATTTATATTCACAAAGTTGATAGGGCAAAACAATAATTCTCAAGAGTAATTCCAGATTATCTGAAAATTTCAGATTTCAAACTGAACATGATATTCCTAGATTTTCAACCAGAAATTCACTGACTTTCACCTTCATAATCAAGTCTGAGACCAACACTATTTTCTTCTCTCACAAAAAAGGAAACTAAAAGCAGACAAGACTTGAAGTTAATTTTTTTTGTCCCCAGAAACACATAATGAAATTCTAGAATAAGCATTTCATTTAGTTTTAGGTCAGATACCCCAGGAAGATAAAGTTGTGTTGCCAGATTCCGCATAACCTCTTCTGTCAGATCAGAGTGTTCTGAATCCCAGACTAAACCAATTGTGACAATCTCAGGGCAATTCATAAGAACACGACGAATTTTTATTTTTTGACCACAGCTACTCTAGAAGAAAGAAAAAAAAAAAAGCAGAGGGTAAACAAATATGTAAAAACCCTGAAATTCAATGCTGAGTTACTAGAAAACATAGAATAACAAAGTAACTCTAATTTCTTCCAGTTCTGAAATTTAATTGTTTGCTGCTAACAATTCAAAGATAACATTCCTCATCACTTTTTTTTACATAAATACCATAAAAATACTGATGAATATGACAGCTAAACTTCTATGTCCAAATATCACCTTAAAATATAAATCTCTAAAAATACGCGAGTCACTATCACAACTTCTATTTTGCCCCTCCCAGCACACACCATTTTCATCATTTAAGCTTATTTCTGTACTTTCTTGTGTGCTTTTCTATGTTTCCTAGATGAAGACTATTCAAAACTGAACCATTTAAGGAAGCAGGGGATGAAGCACAACAACCACATGAAAGAGACTATTTTGGTCAATAGAAGTACAAAATTATTCCAATGAAAGACTATTTTGTCAAGTTGTCTCTCCTACAGCATACATGAGCTAAAGCAGCTTTGCTCAGACAATACACCTATTCAGATTAATCAAAGACGACTAGCTATACGTTTGATGTGCAGTGAAGAATAAAGCAGGGATCTAATAACGTGATTTTCTAACTGGCCCCTTGCACCTACAATACTAGGAATTTACCCCTATCTGGAGCAACAGAATATATATTTAAGGCTTTCCTACCCTAACCTAGGCTGCACTGAAGTAGCCACAAGTTATCCTTCTTTTAGGGGAATAATTTAAGCCTGATTTAACATCCTGGAAGATTCTCTCTAGTATCTTAATCAGAGTAATGCAACATCTTTGTTTACTTACAGGACACTTTCTATAGTCATCAGAAGTATTTGCTGCTTGCAGCAATTCTGCAAACATTTCCGGCTTGAGACGTTCATGCCTTTCCATCATTCTATCTACTTCATTACTACAAAAAAGAAACAGGAATAAATTCCACTGTAGATCACCCTTAAGAATAAACACATTTCAACCAACTCTCAACTATTTCTTATGGAAAAAAAGAAAAGATTCAGAGACAATATGAAACAGCAGCAACGCACATTCTTTTTGCCAAGCTCTCTTTATAACTAGCTTTTGAAATCCAAATGTTACCTTTGAACAGAATCTCAAAAGCATGTTTTAACAAAGAAAAATTAAGTGATTTGTTTTAACACTTGCGGGATTTGCCTAGCATGTTTTGATTATTATTGGGAGGGTATATGCAGAAAAATGAGATGAAAGAGAATAAAAGCTCTTACCACAGGGCTGTGGTAGAAATATAACGCACAAACTCCGTAAAAGGCAAGGGGTCTGATGACGCTCCACAACTGCGACATACACACTACAAAAGTAAAGATCCATTAGTTTTTATTTACTCATGACAGCAAAAATAAATTATCTGTTAAAGCAATGAAATAAAGGTCCAACCTGTTCATACAGTGTCATAGCAAACTTCTGATGAGCAATACAAGATTTTGAAGTGCACATATCTGTTTCACTGTTCGGCACTAGGTGAAAATGAATCCTCTCAAGAATATTTTCCTAAATAGAAACAATAATATAAATATGAAGTGAATTGATAAAGTCAGAATCCACAAACACCACCACAGTCTAACACTCCAGCAACTGTTTACCTTTGCTCCATATGGGCTACCTATCAGCTAAACTTATTTAATTTTGTCCCTCTTCACAATTAATTAGGTAGGAATGCTCTTCACCTAAAGGTTTCCAAACATTAACAAAACAGCCCTAGACAAAAGTCATCCAACTGTTCTTCCAGAGTGCATTCTCCACTGAAGGCAGTGAATTTTCAAAGAAAAAGAAAGTTGTTCTTATAGCAAGACCGGATATTAATCACATCGCATGCAATTCCTGAGAAATTCTTTGGATCAGGCCTCCAGATTTAGCCCATCTGCCAGCATGATGAGTACTGCTGACAGAGGCCTGGAAAAAGCTTAGAAATAGCATGTACCTTACCCCATCTCAAGTCTCACTTTTTAAACTAAAAACTTTTTTCTAAATAGTACTATGACTGTCATCTGCTTGGCTCCCTTAATCAGCATGCTCAGCTGCAACAAAACATCTTCCAGTATGTGATGAGAGAATACTTCGAGGCACACGCTAAATATTCAAACCTAGAGATTACTCTTTTCTCAGAGAGGATAACCCTTCTCTCCACCAAAAAAAACTTTTGGGAGCTATTAATAACCCATCATCCTCACTGACCTGCAGTGATGATGCTTCACACATCCCTCTGCCTGAGCTACAGATCTAGGGAGGAAACTATGGAGCAAATGTAAGATTACTCCATTCCATGTTATGAAACACTTCTCCATGCGTCTATATCCCCATAAAGCAATGCCAATAAGACCAGCAGTATTACATCACTTGCATCCCATCAGTGAGCCTGGAGCTACCAAAACAACGGCCCAGTTTGCCATTCTTTGCACAAAACTAACATAACTCTGCTTCACAAAGAATACTCACAAAGCACTCCGCTGCATCGTCCATGAATCCAAGCTGAAAACGCTGTTCATCCTTAAAACTTTCTGCCAGGGCATGTCTCATATTATCTGATGGGAGTGCTTTTTCTCGACTGTGTTGAAACTGTGAAAAAATTGCCTAGGAAGAAATATTACTTAGCTTCATCAGCCGCTTTGATGGACACTGTTGTTATAGTCAAATACAACTGTTCTTATGTAGCATGCCCAAACAGCAAATACATAAAATATGTATGAATATATGTCAGTTTCTCCCAAAGTTGCTCAAGTTCTGTGTGCTCTTATTTGTTCCATTATAAAGGTGTTACCAAACTGAACTTCAATCCAATAGGAAAAAAACATAGAAGTAGATAAAAATACAAGTGATAGACTTCAGCTCACAGAAGCAACACAAGCCATAGTTTGTAATTATGTAACTTTTAAAATCTAGCTACTGGAATAGTCACTCATGCATAAGTATCTTTACCTTACAGATAGTATGCACTACATAGAGCATTACGTTAAGTTAATGTGAGAGGTATTATACCTATCATTCATTAAATAACGCAACATTAATATTACTATTTCAAATTACTACTTCAAATTATTGAAATGATAGATATGCAAAAAAATTCCCATAAATTATATAGAGTGTTAAAAATGTTATTGATTCAGCTCTCTACTGAACCAGTACATGCAGTAAGACAAGAAAATAAGTCAATATCTGCAGCTCCAGAACATTAAAATAAATTGCATTTGATTCTTTTTCTTCATTTCTCAGAACAGACAGGCTACTACTCTTCATTTTGGCAGAGAGATATGTATCACAATCACAGAACAGTTGAAGTTGGAAGGGACCTCTGGAGATCATCTAGTCCAACCTCCCTGCTCAACCAGGGTCCTCTAGAGCACACTGCACAGGATCGTGTCCCGGCGGCTTTTGAATATCTCCAGTAAAGGAGACTCCACCACCTCTCTGGGCAACCTGCGCCAGTGCTCTGTCACCCTCACAGTCAAGAAGTTTTTCCTCCTATTCAGACAGGACTTCCCGTGTTAGCTGTTTGTGCCTGATGCCTCTTGTCCTGTTGCTGGGCACCACGGAGAAGAGACTGGCCTCATCCTCTCGACACCTTCCCTTCAGATACTTGGACACACTGATCAGATCACCTCTCAGTCTTCTCTTCTCCAGGCTAAACAGGCCCAGCTCTCGCAGACTTTTCTCACAGGAGAGATGCTCCAGTCCCCTCATCAACTTGGTAGCCCTCCGCTGGACTCTCTCCAGTAGCTCCATGTCTCTCTTGGACTGGGGAGCCCAGAACCGGACACAGTACTCCAGGTGAGGCCTCCCCAGGGCTGAGGAGAGGGGCAGGATCACCTGCCTTGACCTCCTGGCAACACTCTGCCTCATGCACCCCAGGATCCCATTGGCCT